AATTGACATGTACAAATTTGACAGAAGCACATTTTACTATCTGCACAACCGCAATGTCAGCTGTAGATTTTCCCTTTTGGCGGCAAAAGGGAAAATCTCAAGGTAACATTTGTTGAACTAGATAACACATTTTTTCAAGTCTGTATATTGTCTAAATTGAGCAAGTAAAATATGTGAAATTAACACTAAAGCTTCCAAATACATATTTAGTTTACGATAAGGGTTTTCCTCATCGCATCGCACTAGATTACACTGACATGCTTTATCATTCATCTAAACTATGGAAATATGATACCTTATTATTTGACTTGGATCGTACGCGCGCTCTGATTGGCTGATTTGCGGTCTGATATTTTCCCATCTCGGACCGTTACCATGGCAATTTGTCCGCAGCGTGTATCAGATTTGATTAAAAAAGAATTGAGCGACGACTGGGTGCTTTCTCCAGTGAATTACATTATCCGGACGAGTTTGAAGAGCCAGAGGAAGTAATAACAGCAAATAACGACGAAAACACAACTCCTTAAGAAGAGATTGACAACTTAGTTACAGACCAGAAAGGTAAACCCACGATTAGGAAAACCAAGTCGGACATGAACAAACTTCACAAATATCTAAAAAGCATTGGTAAAGACACAGAAGAGATTGAGAACTTACCAGTGGGCGACCTCAATCATCTGATAAGCAAGTTCTTCATGTCACGGTTTCACAGTTTGGTTGCATGTGTTTTTGCTAGTTGAAACCGATCGATATTTGTACAAAAATAAAAATAGTCATATAATAACACATATATTAACCTCGCTTGCTCGGTCTGTACAGAGAAATATCAGACCTTGGTCTTTTTAGCACTGTACAAAAAGGCCCTGGTCTGATATTTCTCTGTACAGACCTCGCGCTGGTTTAATAAGGCGTTATCATTTGGCTAATCTTCCAGGTTTTCATCAGTGAGTGCCGTTTTTGTTTTGAAATAACCAATACTTAAAGCAGCCCTGTCTAATCCCCGGAGACCTACTTTGAGATTACTGACTTTTGAAACCAATCTATTCTTGGAACGCAATCAAAACTTTGTCCAAGGATACGGCATAAGTGAAGGGCAAATCCATGACTACAGCAGCTGGGCCATTAAAAGGCAGAATGCAATCTTCCACGTTTAACTTTGTCGATTTTATCATCAAAACCCCAGATATAGCTCTATTTGCATGTTTCCATTTGTTTCAACTGGAGTCTGCAAACACTTTCCACACCCTTCAAATATCACTTTTCTTAATGCGCCTGTAAAAAGGCCATGTTCTAGGCACATCCGGGGGCGTGGCAACCAATCCGGAGCTCGCGCATTTACAGCTGAAGCCGAGGTCAAGCTAGGACGTTATTTATTGTTATAGTCGCACATCAACTAACAGCTCCCAGCCTTCCTCCTCTCATCGCTTTTACAAGAACACAAGGACAACAGCTAAAGCGCATACATTTACATACACGCACGCACGATTATATACAGGCATAAATTCACTTTCGCACTTTGGGAGGAAACAACATTTTAAACTAAGCACTCGGGGGAACGGTGACGCACGGGATGAAAGCATGCAGTTGTACACAAAGTCATACGCACACATTGATAGCTCTAGCCACAAAAATCCAGTGGAACCAATTACAGCTCAGCTCGCCTGGCAAATCAGACCACTTTTAACCCTCTCCGCACAAAGACAGAGAAAGAAGTCAGGGCTGATGAAAAATAACACACAGAGCATGAGCCTTGATGGCCTTTTCATGTGTTCAGACCAAGATAGGGGAGCACAGAGGACTGAGGGGATCGAGGGGGCTCCACAGCAGACACTTCTCAAACTGACAATACGCTCAGTGGGAACTTACTGATGCTCTTTCTGGAGCTTCCTCTGTTTTATGTTGTTTATATTTCAGTACGTTCGAGCTTTTAACTGTCTTCAACACTGTATTTGACTGTTATTTCCTTTCAGACAAGTAAGTTTGAATAATGTGTCATAAGTACCGTAAGTAAATACTTCTTTTAACGAAAAGAGAAACGTTTGGATGTTTTTTGCCCTAAAAAAAGCAAGGGATGCACTGATTCAGATTTATATATGTCTGATATTGATACCGATCCCAATAATTTGGACTTCAATATCTCAATAGTATCAATATATCTTCAATAGTATATTTCTAGACAGAAATCAAATCACAGAAAACATAACAAATGGATCCAGTGGTTTTTACACAGAAAGTAACAACAAAAACAACTTTGTGAGAGTATAAGTTAAAACTCTATTGGTGCAATCTTGGGGTTTACAACATTAAGCAATACGAAAGTGCAATACGAAAAATCAGGAGCTTGATCGTATAAACGTATTAGTGCACTCCTCTTTGCTGCTTTCGGTGGTAAAGCCTGCCTTCACCGAGATCAAGTGACAATTAAAATGAAGTAGCTGCTCATGAATAAAATGTACCTGCAGATGGTTGTTCATCTCTGTAAAGAAGAGAGAAGTCCTGAAAAGATCTGTTGTCTTTCCGGAAGGAGAAAACCCTACTTTACGCAGTAGTTACATTTCTGTCTATGCCTGATGTAGGCAGGAGAACTAGGATCGTGCACCACTGTAGACTTTACATACTGTATACGCACAGGTCAAAATGGTGTACAACGATTTGACATAAGTGAAGGACATATCCGTGACTACAGCAGCTGGGCGTAAAAAAGCTGGATGTAGCACAGGTCTCGTGGTTTTCACCGCTACAGACACCTGCTCCGGTCCTGCCGCAGACCAAAGATCCATATTGTTACCACAGACGCTGGAGCTTCTTCTCAGATCCCTTCTGTAAAGACGTATGTTATCGCTTATGTGTCGTCTCTGTGCCCTGGGAAACATCAGCGAAGCTCAAAAATGGATGCTTACTTGTGTTACTCACTTGTGTTTGTCACGAATTTGCAACACAGCGAATCCAATTATTGAATCATTAAAGTTAGAACCCATAGATGATTGAAATAAAGAGCTCCTGATTAAGGCCAACCGCAAGATGGTGCCCTATGACGTTCTGGGTTAACATCTGCCTGTAAATAGTCTTATCACATCATGTTAAAAGGCGCAATCAGGATTTTTGGCTGAACCGATGTCATCAAACCGTTATCCAATCTCGCCTTGTAAGGCTTGGTTCAAAGGGAATGGTGTTCCGTCTGTAATGTTTCACAGTATGACAAATAGAACGTTGGTTTTAACTTTCTCTTTCAATGGGCTAAAACAAGGGACCACCTCTCCTTAAATCGGATCTGAATAATGTAAAATGCCACAATATCAATACCGTGAGCATGAGCGACAATATTAACAGAGCTCACAAACTTGTGTGACTAGCACAGGGAATCTGAGGTGAGAAATCAATCCATATGTGGGATCCATTTATAGTAAGATTGGGTTTTTTATCAACTGCATACAACTTTCTGGTCATTTGTTATTATGCCAAAGTAGTTTAATAGCTTCTCCTCTTTGTGTTTAAACCAATGCCAACAGAGAGCGCAATGAAAAAGATGGAGCTTTGTATTGATATGAACAGTCTTTCCATGTTGAATTTTGTTACTTTATGAGTTCGCGAGGAGAGGCACATTGCTGTCCTTGGGCAGGCTGACATTCAAACAAGTCTCGCTTTACAATCGTCAAAGCTCTGCACAATTGTTTGTTTGAAGACTAGGGATATGACATTTAATCAATTTGATGAACTCATAATCCTATCATAATAGATGTTAGTATAAACATGGTTAGATTAAACAATATGCAAACAAGCTAATCATTCACTTGTTGTGTGCAACACAGTTCTGTTTAGAGCAACACAAGCACCCACTTTCCTCAGTAACAAAAGCCTGGCACGCAGACAGACACTGCTTCACACCTCAGCGTAGATCACATTTCATAGCAACAGTAAAGTTCCACTGGCCGGGCACACAAGCGATGGAGACAAGGAAAGGAGGGAAAGATGGCATCGTGAAGCAGGGCGATCGATCGTCTGCTCAATCTACTACTCAACTTTATCACAAATGCAGAAGATCTCAGCGGGAAGCCTTCTGATTGAACACAACACAGGAAGCTTCACACAGACTTGTCATTTTCTATTCTCCTGCCACCACCAGCCGCGCTCTCTCAAAGAACTATCTCTAGACTTTTTAAATCGTACACTTTTTCAAATTCTTTCTTGCTTTATGCCGCTTTCTAGCCCCGGCTCTTATCCATTAGCATTCTGCCTGTGTGTTATAATTGATTCCACATGCTTTCCTCTTGTGAAAATGTCATTCATAATTCTGTGTGATGGCTTGTTGGCTGGCTGGCTCAAAGACAGAATGACTGGAGAGGCTGAAGTGTCCACTGACCTATTTGTAGCAGATACAAAGAGACTGACAACCAAATCTGATTATAGCAACCGGACCAGGCCCCCCTTCTGAAACAAGTGGTCTAAACCGTGCTCAGGCTAAGCCGCCATTCATCCTTCTGTGTGCTTTTTGGTCCTTGTGGTTAACCTTTATTTCAGGCAGTGTGGGGAAATGACCGGCAAATTGTCGGTGCTGATGAAGGCTGAAACTCAAGATGGCTGTTGAGGAGGCATTAACTTGGGGAAGCGGAACGTGAACTTGTGACCTTTTTGTGCGGTAATAGAAGAGATTGAAGTGAAGCCCGACTACTCATTAAGTTGTCTGTAAGCGTGGTGTTTGCTTGGCAACGGGGGATTTGCAAAACTGACAGACCATACTGTAACGTTAAACAGATGTGGATATGCCACAAACATAAACGAGCGGTAATAGTCTAGGAGTTTGCAAACGCTACAGGCTATGAAACTGGCTGAAACAGGGGGTCACCCAGCCCAAACAACCATCTCCCCTTATTTACACTGCTAATATCAGAACACTGACTGAGATAAAGGGAAGCACAAAACAAGTGAGCACAAGGACACAGTGTATGGAGATGTGAAAAGACAGAATGGAAGAATGAGGGGTTGTGTAGAGGTATACCTACCGGGTGCCTGCCCTGAGGGTACATGATCCCTGGAGAGGAGAGGCTACCAGTCCGTTTGATGGCCAGGTTAGAGCCCTGGCCCTCCACTGCTCTGCCCTCCACTGGTCACTCTACTCTTCCAGACACTGACAAGTATTTGCTGCTGGATAGAAGACAAGTCCTCCTTCTCAGTGTCCTTTAGCAAGAGTTGGTCCTGACACACATTCAAGCATAGCACTTCTGCCTTTCTCCAACAGTGTCATGTTAAAACAGAGCAGTTGTTTTGACCTCTTTCTTCCAGAGTTGTGCTTCCCAAAGACTTCTCTCTCTCCACTCTCTCTTCACCTTGTATTCCTGGCTCTGTGATCAGTCAAGGTCCACGCGTAGTGACATGACAGGGGTAATTTCATCCAGGCGAGCCCCCACCTCCGCTGTCTCCCCCTCAACTCCTCTCTCCGTAGCAAGTTTCTCCACCTATGCGTCCGAAGACAAAACATAAACAGTGTTTCTTTGGAAGCTTTCTCCCTCCTCCTCAACCTCTGCTTGCTGACACGCTGAAGTCCTGACTACTGCCGCAGAAAGAAGGAGGAGAAGACGAGAAGAGAAGGGAGGGGAGAGAGAGAGCTTTGTTTTTAATCTAAATGTGGAAAAAAGAAAAGGAAAAAAAAACGCGAGAGGAAGGCAGGAAAGAACAGCAGGTCAGTGGAGGATCCAGTGGGCTTTTCAGCAGCAAGCCCTAGACTGTAATATATTGTGCCTGTTGGCTTGAACACAAACACCACAGACTGGGCTAAAGCTGCTCTTAAGGTGGAGCGAGTCCGCGCAAGAACAACCAGTGACAGAGCAGTAGGGGGAGGAAGGGGGAAGCAAGGGGGGAGAGAGATGGATCCATTTTCAATTGTGGTCAGACACACAAAGCGATCAGTCATGCACAAAGCTCCAACTGATATGAATCGCGCTCACACATACGAGCTGACACCAAAACATGACAGCTTATGTGGACGCACGTAGCATTAGCGTCGCCACACACATCACAGACACATGGAGTAGAGGAGGAGAGGTTTATTACCCCGATCAGTGCTCCTCGTTAAAACTCTGCCAGCGTGATTAGACGTCTTTATGGTGACATTTAATTGCGTGAAAAGGCCAGGTGCATGACGGCAGTGACGAGGCAGCAGGATGTAGCTACAGAGAATGGCAGTGAATCCGGAGGGAGACGAAGGCTTGTATTCAGCATCTTGTACTCAGCACGATACAATGTTTGTTATTAAAAAGATCAGGTGGATGGGAGGACAGTTGTATTGCAGGCTGTGGCTCTAAAGGGCAAGCTGTTGTCTGTCTGTCTGTCTCAGGGCAGTTTTGTGGGTGGAGAGAGATTGAATGATTTTTGTTTTTGAATCCACCTCCAAATTTGTAAAGTGTTTAAAGTTCAGGAATTTGATGTGAAGGTGGGAAAAAGGTTGGAGCGCTGAAACTTTAAAAGAGATCGAGGATCAGCAAAAATCAATTACAGAAAGAAAAAGATCTAATTAACATGTAGGAAACTGTTTGAGGAAGCCAGGTTGCTGTATAGAAAGTGTCTTGGATTCAGGAGCTTGTGCAGCAACTCTCGCTTCAAATGTCTATCTTAACAGGGGGGGTATGAAGTTTGCATGTTCTCCCCGCGTCTGCTTAGGTTTCCTCCAGGTGCTCCGGTTTCCCCGACCACTAAAAACATATACAGTAGTTCAGGCTGAATGAGTGAGAGTGGGACAACAGATGCAAATTAGCCCAAAGCTACAAATCTAGAGAGGTGTGTTTATTTGTCCCAACCAAATAAATACTTGAACTTTAGAAGGTTTAAGGTTTCCAAGAATATTTGAGTTACATATTCTGCCACTTCAAGTCTACTTCCCCAGTCACATGTTGCAAGTCACAAACAAAAACAAAAGATGTAGCTTTATAATAACTGAATGGATATATAATGGAATATAAGTGCATCCATCAATGTCACAAAAAGCACACTAGAAGCGAACATACCCTCATGTTGGGGCAAAATTAGTTGTTGGGCACATGTCCCATAGAACTAAACCACTAAAATGGTAAGCTATTTTTCTTTGCATTCACAGTTTATCGCCAGTGATAAATATACCCCAAAATGTAACACCGAGGGGGGCTCAATCGACCCGCATTAAGCCTGATCGAGTAAACATTGGGAAGGACGTCCTGTATGAACCAAATGGATATACAGGACAATACATGTGTCTGTTCTCCTGTACAAGGATAATTACTGATTAACTAAGCAAAAATAGGCTCACTACTCCAGGATAAGCCGTCTGTTGGTCTACTTTTACCTCCTGGCTCTACACACGTTATTTACAGACAGCGCTGTTAGACGTGTGCAGTCTACAGCAGAGTATTTAAAGCCTTTCCGTGTAGAGAGCACCACTATCCCAGCAGTCTTTTGGCGCTGCTTATAATGAGTTTATCCAGGGCAGCGCTGCCTTTGAACTTGATCAAACGGCCATTAATCCGGGAGCATTCAATGGGACACAGTCAACCCTGGCATCCGTGGAGGCTTTCCAATAAGACACAAACTGTATTTGATAACAAGTGGGTTAACCCAAGGGCAGTCCCCGAGACTCAATTAAGGTCACCTACCAGCATCCCATTAGCCAGGCAGCAAGTTACATACACTACGGAAACTTTAGCTTGTTTATTTAACACACACGTAGATGCACAATCAAACTATACATGTTTGAGCCTAACCCTACAGTAACCTTCGTAAAGCTGTGGGAACCTAAACATACATTTTAATATTAATAATCCATGATGTTGGTCCTAACAGAAAGTAAACGGCCAATCAGATCAGAACATGCAGTCTTTATCTTATGAGAAAACAGAAAGAGACGCTTTGGACGGGAAGCTGAGTGATGGCGGTCCTGTCTTTGTCACTTTTCTGTCTGAAAAAGCAGATCTAAAAATGGGACATAGGCCAATGAAAACTAGTGATAGAACTGTTTTGAGGTTTTTATCACATAGTTCCTTTTGCTGTGGTTTGAAAGTTAGATAAGAGATCCTTTATTCGTCCCACAGTTTTAGGCTGGAAACTGAAGCCAGTGAATATGTTTTGGCTTTTTTTTATAATCCAGACCAGCACAGTCAACACAGATTTAATGCTACACAATTATAAATGGCAATCTATAAAACAATATTACCAAACATTGTGGTTAACTTTTTGCCTTGCAGAATCGAAGCGCTTCCAACAACTGTCTAAATTACAAACCTTTTATTCTGAAAAAAGAATCCTCCCACGTTGAATAAGAAGCAGACCATGAACACCTCGCTAAAGCAGCCTCACACCTTGAGCAATTTAGTCTTGCGGTGTGTAATCTGTGCAGGGCTACAGAGACTTGTGAACAGCCACCTGCTCTAAGGTAACACATTCACTCAGGATAACCAACGTCGGACCAAATTATCTTCCCTGCGCAGACATATAATTATTTCATCCACTCAGACTCGTTTTTACCTCGACAGCCTTTAACCACATGCAGCTAATTCACCAAGTAGCCCTTTATACTAATCTACATTATCTAATTGTCTAGAAGAGATTAAGAAGTTAATTAATCCCCAGACTCATCATACTGTGGTTGAGAGATCCAGACCGGCTCATCACTAACAACAACATAGAATTAGAATATATTGTGCATTGGTTATGTCAGGATCATTAATATTGATGATGACCATTTGAAATCTCAGCGCTGATCTAGCATGATTTCATAATAATAATAGTTAGTCTGTGTTGAAATGTATTGTATTGATGTATGCCTGTCCCTTCGCGGTACAACATTGTAAACATATCAATCAACTTAATCACAGACAGGAATTCTTGAAGTAATTGTCTTTTGAATGCAGGAGAATATTAATTACTCAAACAAACATGAATCAATCTTTGTACAAAAACCTTGTGAAGGGGACAAACAATAATCTTTGTCATTTCCTCCCAAGCAGAATAAAATATTAGAACTTTTTTGCCATTCCTTCCTTCGAATAGATCACTATAGGATTTGGATCACGGTTAGGATTTGGGTAAAGTATCTTGCAATGGGATCAAATGCCAAGATATTAGAAAGTCCCAAAACAGCAGTGCAAAGCTAATGCAGCTAAAGTCGGAAACAGGAACGGTCTTCCTGAAAATGTGAGACATGTTAAAATCCTAGTAAACAACAGTTCTGTTTAGCTGCGCATAGAGCTGGAAGACTGCACCCTTTAATGGACTTTGAAGAGTGTGGATTTGATTATTTATTTTCTGTCTTTAAAGTTTTCTTTCTTGTATTGTAAAGAACCTTGAGTAGCCTTGTCTGTGAACTGTGCTCTACAAATGGCTAACATGGCCCAATGCACTCTGGTCTCTTAATGTTATGATACTTAAAAAGCTGTTGTTTAAAAAATAGGATGTGATGAATGTGTGAGAGGAAGAAGCTTAGACTGCAGCACACAATGTTTACATTTAACTAAAAAAAATGTTTCAAACTTAGGCCCTGTTTAGACAAAAATGCTGCGGAGACGCTGCAAAGCAATTTGCAAAAACTGCCAGGTCCGTATTCGAAGTGCTAAGCGTCTACACAAAGACAGACAACCATGTAATTCTAGCACCCGGCCAGTAGTGGGCACGTGTATCATTAGTTGATCCGCCGCAATTGTTGTTTACGTTTGTTTTCGGCTACTGCGCATGTCCAAATGTACGTGCAGGGAAGTGGTGAGGTCATTGCAGGCAGAGAATTCACACCTTTTTCTTCACACATCTGTGAAACAGCCCCCTGCTGGGTAGCGTATCTGTTCTGTTCCACAAAGATATTACAGAATAAAAGTGATATTTTGGCCTAGGCAGTCCAATCAGCATTTGCCATTCTGAAACACTCCCCTTTTTTCACCCCCCTGAAACACCGTCTTTGTGTAAACAAAAGGCCAATTTAATACACAACTCTAAGATAAGATAAAGTTCATCTCACAATGGAGAAATTTACAATCATATTACTATTGTATTACTGTCGCAGTGTCTCCGTGTAAACAGCACGATAGTTACAGCAGCCTGTAGAGTAGAATGTCACAGCCCCTCGCATCGCCAACAATCATTCTCATTCTCTGCACATTATACACACAGAAGGACTCCGAAGGTGAAATGTTGTGCCCAAGGACACGCGGGCAAATGTACTGATCTGACTCCAATCGACACCTTTCAAATCGGTGCATAAACGTTCAGCCAACTTGAAGCCACTGCAGCCTCCTATTAGAAAGTGTGAGTGTGTGTATGTATATGTGTATCACTGCACACGCAGCGACTGACCTTGCAGATGGATAAAAGATGTTGCAGTGGCAGGCAGCATCTTCAGAGCGATGCAGAGAAGGTTCATATCCAGTCTGACCCTCTATAAAAGACCACACCAATTACGCCGTGGCCGAGACCAGTGTTTTCTAACCAGGGGTACATGCTTTTACAGCTACGTGAGCAATTTGCAGCTGGTTTGAAGGTGAATTTCTGCTTTAAATGAAAGGGATAATTAAATATTGTTGCAATCATTTGTTGTAGTACATGCTCTGCCTTTCATGTTCCTACTGTATTTAACAATTTGAACAGAAATAGCATCGAAAAAGAACAAACCATGGTTGGGTTCACCTCAGTGTATTTACAGTCAAGCCCACCACCTCATTCAAGATATTGTCAGTGACTTTTTAAATTGTGGAAAGATCATTTTTGTTGTTTTAAATTCCAACACTGATTGCCCGTGCTCACTGCTTGGACTAAATTAATTCAAGTCCTTGATTGACTGGTGAGCCCGCTCCCCGTCAGTTTAACTATTCTCCTCCAGCAAATCTCACCGGTGGTGGGTATGCCAGGCAAGACTTTGATAATTAGTTTTTCACACAAAACATATACTTCTGTGGGGCATTGCCGTTACTAGCCACTTTGAAGAAGTGTTTATTGATGTGCTATACTGATGTGTTTCTTGCTGCTAAAAACCAGCATAATATAGGAACATACGAACCTGCTTGATGTCCTGTTAATAAAATTATTTTTCAGTGGTCCATGTTTGTTTATTGCAGTGTGTCAAAGGTGAATGTAAATCTATTGTGAATGTAAAAATGTGTTACCAGACAAATTTCTCCTGCGGAAGACAATAAAGATCTCATCTTATTACAGGGGTCAATAAAGTATCTATCTTCCTATTTGCATTATAGTACAGGGCACTTAAAGGTATCTAGGAGGATTTTCTACTTCCAGGTGGATCATCAAGGCTATTGGTCCTCCCAATTGTCAATCATTGTGGTTGATACGTGCTTTTCAAATAAGACCAGAGTTTTGTTCAAAAAGTGGAGAGGGCGGTACTTTTCTAAAATTTGAGAAAATCCTACAATATACCTTTAATAATGGAATGTGTCTGAAGCTACAGACAATGCTGTTCCCAATCCCAAAATAGCTTTCAGTTTTCCAATGCCTATTAAGACTTGATGAAGTCTGTATTAGCATAAATGGCATGATAATAGATCCATGGTCTGAATGTACCGGTAAACTTATAGTCACATAAGCAAAAGCTCCAACTCCAGCTCCTTTCCTTACCTCCATGGGGGGGATTGCAAACATTGTGTTCTTCTTTAACTATACCTAAATATGACAATAAACTATGAAAAATCTTATTAAAAACCAGTACCACTAGCCATGTGCGCAGTCCATGAAGTTTAGGAAATGAAAATATACAGTTTCCATAACACTATCAGCGGCACGCAGAGGGATGCAGCGCGCAATCATTCCACCTTAAAAGCGCTTCCGTGTTTGACATCTCTCTCTGCGGCTTGATTGGATATCACGGCAGAGGAGTCTAACCAATCACAGGCCACAGACCCCACGTTGGCTCCTGATGTCAATATGAGAGTTGACCAATTGCAGCTCTGCCTGGCTCTGAATGAGTGCGGGTGGGGTCAGAGGGAAGGGGGAGTCTGTGGGGGATTGTGGGCATTGAAGTCCCAATTATTCAGCCCGCGCGCGCGCACCTACACACGCGGCACATGCACGCTGTCAGTCACGCTCCATAAACGGTCAGTAAATCCCACCGTTAATTTCAATCCATATATTTGTACTGATAATGCAAACACAAGCAGATCTGAGGAGAAAAATAGCTTGAAATTAGATTAGTATTTTTAAATGTTCATTATGCGGGGGATATGAAGACGATCACTGAAGAATGACTCAAATTATATTGAAGGTTACACACAGTAGAATCATTTTCTGTGTGATCACTTTTGTCTTATATCTGCTTGGGAAAATAACAAGGCTATACTTATTGCTAGAATATGTTGTTACCGGGTGATATATGCCATGTGGTCTGGGCATGTTGAGTGTGATCCAGCTCCACACTGTTTTATAACCAAGGCTGCAGATAAAAAAAAATCCATCTTGGCTTAATACATGTGTGGATGATGAGTTGAGTCCCATGTGTTCTGCTTCTGGAGATGCTGTCGTGTATAAGAACGTGTGGCAGAATAATGCTATAGTGTGTATATGTTCCGACACAGGATCTAATCCAAGTCGCGGAAAGGTGTTTTATAAGGACTGCACTCTTGTTTTGTTTGACGTTTGTTCAAAACAGTTGCCAACATCCTGAATGACTTTTACTTAACCAGAATACTGAGGATGTTAAACAAAATAAATGTTCCCTTGCTCCGTCTTGTGGATGGTTAAAGTCTTTGCTGCAGTTTTCAACCGAAAAGCAGCAGAGATCCTCAAGGCTGCTGTCAGAACTGCACTACCTGAATGTTTTTTATTTACTGCTATGAATTGTATTTTGGGGCTGGACTGATTAATGAGAAAGAAGCCGATTTAAACAAAAGCTAGTTGGGGCCAAATTCCTTATATGGGCAATTGTTCAGATGGTAATAGCTTTGTGCAATAACATGGGCAGACGTGTTGCTAAGATGGTTGCTAAGGAAAGCTGGAGTTTGGTCAATTCTTATGTGGCTCACGTGGCTCATATCTGAATTCACAAACATTATCAAATAAACACCAAGATCATAGAGAGCGCTAAACCACAGAATTTTATTCCAAAAATGGTGAGTGTGACACAGACAAATTGAGCGAGAAGATGTATCCAAATAAAGCAACAGTTTATTGACATATAACCAAAATAAGTCAAAATTATTTAAAATTCCAAATGGGCAGGTCAACAAAATATCAAGGTACAGTAAGGTTTTCATAATACATTGCAAATTAAAGTATTTTTAATCAAAACAGTGACTGAATTTATATATTATTAATCCACAAGGATTGATAATGTCTCTTTGTGGAAGACCACAAAGAGACAGCTTCAAGTAATCAAGTTTAAAAAGTGGAAGATGATGGTTCTTTCTTAAAATTTTGGAAAATCCTCCTATATACAGTACCTTTAAATGACTGCTGTAGGATCCGGTTTTATAGAGCTTAAATGAAAGATTTCTTCAACAGTTAACACCAGAGACATTTTTATATAGATCTTTTTAATGAGACCTGACCATAACTGAAAACGTTTAACTACAGGAAGCTATAACTCATAAATAAGCACATTTACACATGTCATGTCCAACACTGTGTAGCACTCAATGTTCTAATCCAGTGAGAGGAAACAGCTCTGGCAGAAACTCAGCCCATATGATGTTTAAGTGCGGATCATCTCTGTACAACTCTGACAGTGGTAAACACACTCTGCAGGGCAGTGAAGCTGCACTATGTGTACACCGTACATGAGGAACCGCATGATCAAAGGTGATCATGTATTATTCTACACGTACGATATAATCATTCTGAAATTAGATTTTCCTGAGGTAGACTCTACTTAATAGGTCACATTTGACCAGTCATCAAGCTGCTTCTAAAGGCTTAACGTTGGTTGCACTCAAGACCAACTCGTACAGTATAAACAAGTGGAGTCTTTCACACAAAAATCCAATCAAATGTCTTTATTTGTGGTCTTTACAAATATATGAAAATGTTCATGGGTTATGAATGCACTGTAATGGGGATGGGATTGTATGAAGTAAAAGCATAGCCCTGTAATGTATTCTGTGGCGGTGACTGGTTCTGACAGGGCAGGGGGAGAAGAGGCTCAGAGCTGTATAGCATTAGAAACATGTGGATCCCTGCTGACCTGCTCAGTTCACAGCCCATAGGTTTGTGTGCGCTCTTTTACCAGCTGAAAGCAAAATGCAGTATTCATAAACTATTTACTACATACATCTTGGGAGAATTTGTTTGGAATTTTCAATTATTTTTCAAAACTATTTTTTAAAAAGATTTCTTGTATTGAGACTCAGCATGTTATAATTTGACCATATTTCCTTGCCAATGAGAGACCTCTGGGAACACATGTGCCACAGTGGGGCGGCTCTGTCTCTAAAGCTCTTGTGTCCCTCTGCAAGACGTTTCACCATGTTGCCAGTGCAAATCCAGTGTGAGCAATAGCACACACAGCTAACACTATGGAGTATGGAATAAATTATGAAGTGACTGTAAGGCACTAAAAGACTAATGCACAACTATAATTGGGCTGTCTTACACAGAGGGATTGATTCATAGACAGCGCCTTCGCATTTAAGGGAACGTCATATTGCAGTAGAATTTTCCTTAATGATTGTTTGTTATTGTTTACCCATCATAAAAGCACTCTTTGTTTTTCACCATGCATCCTTCTTGTGCACAGTTTGATATAACATACAGTATTGCGCTCGTGTCGCTCATGTCTTGTGTTGAATTGTCCTGAGGGAGGAGTGTGGTTGTAATGCAGTGTTCCAGAGCTTCAGCCGGACTTGTTCTGCTCACCATTTCCTCAGACTGCACCCTTTTTACGAGGCTTTAAAAAGACCTTTATGTCTTGCAGCTCCAGCATTCTGCACCCAAGGGCAGCCCACTGTGCGATGTCATCTCCTGAGCGTGCAATGCATCAAACGGGGCTCCTATAGTCGACACATGGAGGGACTGTTCTGTAGAGAAGTTTATGATGATACAAGAGATCCAAAAATCAGCCAAATCAGACAAATACATTTCTTTGATATTTGAGCATATTTTCTTATTTTGATTGGTGAAATTATCTTTTGTGTGTTATAGACAGATGGTTCAGTGTTCAACAACAAAGCTTTTCAAACATTGAGCCTGCCATGCTATACACTGATATAGTTTTTTTTTACACTGACAGGTTTTTCTTAGGCGCCTTTTGGTTTCACACTGAGAGACACCATGGGCTGGGGTGTCAAAACAACTCTGCTATTAACCCCCCTCGGACGCTACTTTCTGCCAGGGCTTGGTCAGTGTGAACACACCAACCGACCCAAGTGGGAACTTATCACAAGGTAACACAAGGGCCACGGTTTTCTGAAGAAGAGCTGCTCA